AAACAAAATAATGTTTCTAAAAGAGATTTATGGATTTGGGAGACCTACATTACATGTTCCCAATATGAGGGAGAGAAAATGTGTAGCTGGAAAAGAAAACACATAGAATGCATTTTCACTATCAAATGTAGATCCTCAAATATAGTAGTATGAACTAGAAGTTCATAAAGTGTTGCATTCGTAAAACATTACTAATATCTGCTAGATGCAATTACTGACCCAAATGAGAATTCTTAATTCTTATATTCCAGCTAAAAATGCTCCTATTCTTAAAGACATGTTAAAAGCATGAGATTATGATTGGTTCCAAAAGAAAAGAAAAGGGAGCAAATGATCATGATGATCATACTAAGGAGGCATGGATTGCAAAAGAGGTTAAGACATAACTCTTTGACCCCTGAAAAGGTTTAAATGTCTGAAAGCAATAAAGAGATCTCGATATATTATGTCATAAAAGAAAATGGGACCGGTAAAGGAATAAAATTGTCGACAACAATTTGATTGATGATATCACATGATCAAATGAGGATCTTATATATAAATCTGTTATGAGATACAGATAGAAAAATGATTAGCCAACAGAAAAGAAAAGACGCAACATTATAACAGGAGATTTGTGTATCTTTAACCCAAGCACCTGAAGTGTAATGGGCATTTGTACAAGAAAAGAGAAATACAATCTTGTGGTGAATTAAAATTTTTATGTATCTTACCAATCTGGCAGTTTGATAATTTATAAAAATATCTCATATGCGTCTAGAAAATACAATTACTCACTATGTAGTGAAATTATATGTGAATCCCAGAAGGATTCAAATCCTTGTATAAATATAAACGATCCAATACATGAATAGATATGGATCATAATGTATGAAAATCTTCGAAGGATTTAACTTTCTAGAAGCATACAATTATGTTCTCAAGAACACCATTGAAGTAAGTCTCTATATGAGATATATGTGATTAATATCAACTGAAGGAATGATGTAAACTTATTCCAACTTGTTTGTTTGTGACAAGATTCAAAATGAATCTATTATCAGTACTATTTATAATGATAATATCAGAATTTCTGATGAGTTTTCAATAGTTGTAAATTACTTAAAGGAAAAAATTTGAAATGAAACATTTCAGAATAATACATATAAATAAGTCACATCTATTACGTGGATGAGCAACATCTATTATATGTTTCACTAGTTGCAAGATCTTTAGATATGGACTAAAGATCGATTTAGACCTCTAGAACGTAATAAATAAACACTTGGTCCAGAAGTACCATATTTTAGTATCACTGAAGCATTTATATATCTAGCCATATAGAATCTGATATATCATTTGCTAATTAGCATGATATAGGTTTTTTTATCAACATGAAGATGTTGGAATGAAATTAAAAATATTCTTCGTTACTTTAAGGGTGCCATGGAGGTAATATTATTTTATTTGAAGGTACCCAAGACTAATATTAATGGCTATATAAATAAAATATTTTTGTTTGATCCTTATGTCAAGAGATCATAGTATAATCTACGTGTGGGTAAATCATAAAAGGACTATTTGTCTCATAATTTTTAGAAGATTATGAAATTCATATTTAACGTTTTTATCTCATTATAATATTTGGAAGGGTTGTTCGTTATATTAGACTTTACAGGCTCCAAGATATCAACTGATGTTGCCAAGAGGAGGAGTTGATACACGCTGTACTTTTTTTTCCTTGTCTATGGTTTTGTCCCATTGGGTTTTCCTAGCAAGGTAGGCAGCATTGCATAGTATATCAATGAATGATGTACTCTTTTTCTTTCGCTAGGTTTTTATCCCACAGGGTTTTTCCTAGTTGAAGTTTTTTAAGGAGGCACATTCATATATATTGGACATCCAAGGGGGAGTGTTATGAATATAATAATATCTTTGTGGATGTCCATATATCTCCTATTATCTCCTATATTTCCTATAATCTCTAATATCTCCCATTATCTCTATATCCCCCAATTATCTCTTATTATTATATAATCTGCAGATTCTATCAAAGGTGTAAAGCTGTGCTTATAAATAGAGGCCATATATAATATATTGAGTACTCTTGAATGGAATGAGAAATATTCTCTCTTGTTGATCCTCTCTTCTTCTATATGATTCTTCTCTATTTCTTCTTTATTCATAACAAATATGAGATAGTAATAAATAGGTGATGTTAATTATTCTTGTAGAGTTTTAAATGTCAAAATTATTTATTTTTTATTTTGAAATTCAACAACGAATTTTTTGTCGTTTTTCTTTTTATCTATTTATATTACTTTCCTGTGCTTTGTAATTTATGTTAAGTAATTGATTATTTTTTAAACTGAAAAATCTATTCTAATTAGTTTTTTAGTTGTTTTTCATTATATATATATATATTAATATTTTTCCTTGATTCTCACTATTCCAATCCTATTTGAATTTGGATACAATAGAATTTTGAAAAAATTAATCTTATGTTACTTCAATTTTTAACTTATTTAGTCATTTCTAACTTGGTTTCTTAAGCATGACTTTGAAAAATTCAATTAAATTTTAGTTTTTATAATTTGGTTTCTTAAATTTTTGACTCGTTTAAAATTAAGTTTTTATGTTATCAAATTTTTTATTAAAAAAAATCATCATCCCTCCAACTCATAACTTAATTATTCTACACGTAAGAAAACGTTAATCATATTATTAAATGCATATATACATTTATAAATTCATCTATTAATACTTGTAAATTTTTTTATTAGTTGTTAATGTAAATCATAACTTGTGAATTTTTATTTAGATGAACAATTGTACTTTTGTGTATAAGAAAAAAGAACAATTGTAATGTTTTCCATCAAACTTAGGGAGCTCTGTTTATTACACATATAAGTTGTTGCATTATATAACATAATGACTTTAATAGATCAATGGTTGTGAGTGTTTGAGAAAGTAATTTTGATGATTTCAAAAATAATTATTATTTAATAATTTTTGTAGTAAATATTTTTAAAATTAGTTATTATTTTGTCAAGGAATTTAAAAGAAAAGGTTGAGCGGCTCATGACTGATTCACTGATATAGTTCATGAAGAGGAGAGAATGGAAAAAGCCATTATAGAGAGATAATGACATTTTAAAAATTAATTATAAATGCTTCCTTTATTAAACTTTTATAACAGTCCTTTTCATTACCAACCAATTGATAAGGCTTATAAATAGAATTTAAGAGTGTTTTTTTCCCAACAAATCGTAAGAGTGTTATATGAAGCAAAATATTAATAAAACAAATCCATCAAATTTAGTACAGATTTGAACTAAGCTGAAAATTTTGCATTGCTCATAGTTATATAATCACTTATACTAAATATAGGTTTTGTTTGTGCATCAATTATTATCTTTTAATGAATAACTATATCAATTATTGATATTATTAATTTATTGCCACGATACAATAAAATTATTAATTATTGATTAATATTTAGTTTTCAGATATAAATTATGAGATATTATTATAAATTCAGATTTTGCAAATCCACCTCATTCATTATTGATCATGCCTGTATCAAATTTTTTGTTGAATGGTCATACCAGATATTGCTATAATTAATTGTCATTTCTAATAACGTATTAATACTATTAATTATTAATTAATATTATATTTTTTTTCTAAATATAAACCTTGGGGATGCTGAATATAGATTCAATCTTTGAAACTCACATAATTAGTTATTGATAAAGTGGGATAATATAATAATATCTTGATTTTAATTTGGACTTCATAACATGTCGATGAAAAATTCATGTTTCTTGCGCAGTTTCACAAGTTTACAACACCCTTTGATACATCCATTGATGGAAATATATTGGGTGTTCACTGATCAATTTCAAACAGCAAAAAAGGAAAAAAAAATTGTTTCTCTTTTAAAGAACTTACTAACAATTAGGATTCAAAAGCCTCCAGACAATTTTTTCTTTAGGAAAAATTACATTTAGTTGGTCACGTTGTAAGTAGTAGGAACTAGTCCCTAATAACATAACAAACTAATATTTGAATCCTTACTAAGAAATGTATTCATATTTAATACGCAGCTATATTTTAAATAGAATTACTTTCAATAAAAAAATACATGTCATCAATCAAAAAAGAACAAAAAAAACCAATGCCTAAACTTGTTAATTTCAGATTGTACATTGCCAAAATTATTTTTTTTAAAAAAAATCTGAACCTGATATCACTTAAGTGACTATGCTAATAATGTATGACCAAGCATTTATCTAATCTAAAACTCAGCAATCTCCAACATGAAGCTAGAAAGTTAATGCCAAATAAAATATTGGGATTTGATACACATGAAGTTAAGATCAAAAGCAAGAGAAACTTAATGCCAATGGAAGTAGACAATCTCATTTGAACTTGCATGTATATTTGAAATAACTCATTGCTTGGCTCGTAGAAATTAAACAATAGCAAGGGCTCAATTTAAACAAAAATCTTGAAATGTCACAGCAAAATATATTGGCTGATGGAAGTGCAAATTTTCCACTAAAAACTCTTCAGTCATAGGTAAAAGTTAGTAAACCACAATGCGTCATAGCTAATTAATAGCAAATTTTAAATCAAAGGATGGATATTTCACAGATGGGAAAAAGGGAATTCAGTTTTGTAGCTAGTCATGATGAGCCGGATTAAATTTTGCAATTCAATCATAAGAAAATAACTTTAAACATAAAACAGAGACCCTAAACTAGATTATATAGGGTAATTGAACAAAGAAAAATAAGTTTACTGGAAAAAAAAAAGCTTTCAACATAAAACAAATTAGAATTGGGCCATTAAGAAAGAAACAAGAACGCCATGTTAAGACAAAAATTTCACAATGATAATGGAACAGAGTCAAAATAAAATTAGCTAAACATATGGCTTAAACAGACCATCAACAATAGTAATATACAACAACTTCAATAACAAACAAACAGTAGAGGGTCTCACCTTGTTTCATTTTAACGGCCCTTAGAAATCATCTTATGAAGAAGCTTCTCTGCCTCATCATCCTCATTTTTATCAAGAAGATGTCCAATATTAACTGTAAAAGTTGTCGTGTCTAGGATGTAGTCAGTGTCTTCCATTTTATTATCAAGGAGGGCCTTTGCCTCGTCAAACAAACCCTCTTTACAAAGTCCTTTGATCATAATAGCATAGGACAGAGCATTTAGATGCCGACCTTCCATCAAAAGATATTGAAAAATCTCTCTTGCCTTATTTAATCTTCCACTAGTGCACAAGCCATCCATGAGAATATTGTAAGTGCGAACTGTAGATTGAATTTTCTTTTCGACAATATGTTGAAATAATGCAATTGCTCGATCAATATCCTGCCTTTTACATAACGCATGTGTCAAGATATTATAAGTGATTATATTAGGAGGATGACCTCTGTGATGCATCTCATGAAGAAGATCACGAGCAAATGAGATTCTTCCTGCTTTGCAAAAGCCGTCAATCAGACAATTATAACTTGCTGTGTCGGGAACCAAATTTCTTGAACGCATTTTCTTAAAGAGACACACGGCATCATCCAATCTTTTATTCTTACAACACCCATCAATCAAAACGTTATAATTCAACACATTTGGCCTCAAACCACTTTTAATCATTTTATTAAATACTTCAATTGCTTCCTTTACATTATTGACCTTACAATATCCACTCATTAAGCTGTTATAGGAAATGACATTAGGCTTATGACCATACTTCATGATTTTGGCAAACATGACTTGACTTTCTATGATCCTTCCTTCTTTACAAAATGCATCCACGAATGTAGCAAGGGTGGTCACATCCACGTTGATACCTCTTCGAAACATATCATTGAGCAATTCAGTAACTTCTTCCCATTGCTGGATTTTGCAGAATCCATCAATGAGAGTGGTGTATGTGATAGTATCGGGAAATATTCCATTGTCAATCATTTCTGAGAACAAATCAAGTGCCTCTCTTACAAATCCCTCTTTACAAAGCCCATCCATGACTGTGCTGTACATAACTACATCAGCCTTCATTGCAAGTCTATGCAACTTCTGGAGTAATTTGATAGCATATCTGATTTTCCCCACCTTACATAACCCATTAATTATTGTGCCGTAACTAACTTAATCCAAAAAATATCCTTTTGCAATCACCTCATCATGGAAACCCAATGCTTCCCCAATCATGTTGTTGATACAGAGTCCCTTCAATAGTGAAGTTAAAGTTATAGTATTCGCTTGAAAACCCATCTTAAAAATCTTCCCCAATACGGAGAAAGCACAATTCATCTGACCCACGTGGCCGTAACAGTTGATCAAAATAGCTAGAAAAGCTACAGACGGAGTGAAACCCTTCAACTGCACCTGAGAACAAAGAGAAATAACGGTGGGATAATGCTTCATTTTAGCAATGGCTCCCAAAGCTTTGCTAATTTTAAAAACGGAGGGAGGGGGACGTTCACGAAGCATGCGATTGAACGAATCAACCACATCTGTGATGTCGTTTGGATTTGGAGAATGACAATGAAGGAAGAAGTTGAGACAAAAGGAATGAGGTAAAGAGTTAAGCAAGCGAGAAGACGATGATGGAAGAAAGCGAGGAAATTGACGGAAGGCATACCTCGTAGCTTGAGAGAGCAACATCTTCACACAGCAAAATGAGATTTCAGCGAGAGGCGGCCTTTTGAGGAGGAAGTCCAAACTCGGAAAGATGAATTCACGCAGCAAAATGAACCGCATCTGTGATCTGCCTTCCCTGGCCTCTATTTTCGCATGAACTTGTGAGCTGAATTTCTAATTCTAAGATTTTTGTAAAATGCAAAAATAACTTTAAAAAACTCATTCAAATAGTTGAATAGAATCAAACTTTAACATTGCTTAACAGACCCTAATTATAAAATCTTATTTGTAAATTATTAAAAAAAACTCTTATAATTAGGATCGGATGTAGTATCATGTTAGTTAAGTTATTTAAAAATTGGACAATATTTCTCCAATCACACATCACCATGTACCCTATTTTTAAAATATTACCACCTCCGGTCTATAATATAAAACCTCATTTAACTTTTATTTCAATCATAAATATAAGATCCCGATCCATTTTGTCTCTCATATTTATGTTTTTTTTTTCAAAATAATATTTTTAATAATAATAGTTCTAGCTAATACACTTGATTAGTTAGAATATTTAAAAAAACACTTATTTATTACAAATAATTAATTTAACTTATTTTATTAATCTATTCAAACTAATTAATTAGCTTTTATATTTAAAACCAAAGGTAATAGTAGTATTTACCAACATTTAGTTATAAATCCACATAAAACAAAAAATAACACATAAATATATATGATTACAGAACTTTAACATAATGACTGTAAGAAACTCGACTTAAATTTTTTTCCTTAAAAATTAAGTTACAAATTTTTATTTTTATTGCATAAACAAAAATTAATTTTATTTAGAAAAAATGGCTATAAAATACCTACTGTGTTTCTAAATAATAAATAGATGGTGCTGCCTATTCTTGTGAAGTTTTGACATGCTAAAATTATTTATTTGTTATTTTGAAATCTAACAGGTATTTTTTCTAGTTATTTTCACAAGAAAAGTTGCACACAATAAATGAACAGAACACAACGTTGGCGAGAGCCCAAGGACTAGGTGATTGGAGGGACGATTTGGCGCGAGGATCTACGCCCATAAGTAAACACAATCTAGCAGTCAATGCAAGAAGGCTGGTTCGAAAAGGGCAACACACCCAAATTATACAAAAGCACAAACCCAGACGCTGAACCCATACATAGATAAGTAAATGCTAATTTGAAGACAACCTTCCATTCCATTCATCAGTAAATGGTGGATTTAAAAAAAAAAAAAATCGCTATACATATATTATCAATTAGTGTAACAATATTTGGATCTTTGTCATAATACCAGTGAGGAGTCCAGTACCAACTTGGCAGAACTCAGTTCAAGACAAAGTGGTACCTCGAGTCCACAAAGCTCTCAACATCCCAGAGAAAAGAACCAAAAGTCACAGCCTCCAACACAAGGCTCTTCAGACAACCAAAACTAATTTTTATGTTCTCATCTTTCGAAGAATCAATTGTCCCATCTGGTGTTATCACAATTTCAGGTCTTCCAAACAATGCCTCTGTGTGCTTCTCAATGATGCTGACAGCCTCTTTTGATCTTATTGTTGCATATCTCTGAAGGGTCTCACCATCAAAGGACATCACATAGGTACGCAACCTGGATGGCTTTATGACATAGCTAAACCCCTCAGAACTGACACCACCACCAGGCCAGGCAGACACTTCAGGATGGGGCATAGCTTGAGAAGGATCTTCTCCATTACCTGGTCTTCTATCGTCCATGACAATTTGCCGTTCACTATTCTCATCTGCTGTCGTAGGAAGAACTTTCATTGTCTTCTCCAGCTGGAACCTTTGGTCAACCCGCTTAAGAAAGTATCCATACATCACTGATGCAGCATAAACCTGTCCAACCCTTAGTTTGCTGATCTGAGCCACAGCACTTGCATCATCAATTCGGTTGCCCAAAATGAGAGCTAAATGGTTTCTGATCATCTCATAGGCCTCAGGTGAGTGAAGCCGCTCAAGTTTCCCATCTTCACTTGGCCATGAATCAACTTGGCCAGAAGAATCTGGAGTTACGGAGGGTATCAGAGAAACATTGGCATCCATGAATTTCTGCACCACCAATGCATACAAAATCTCTTCTAGAGCTTTCCTTCTTTCATTAGCCTTAACCTCGGCAATTCTTCTGAAGAAGTTGTAAAGACAATAAATTGGTCAACAAACTCCATAATTTGGGGCCTCCTTTTTTTAATAGAAAAATAAAAAAAAATCCTCCTCTGGAACTACAACTCAATGAAAATAAGCATGTCACTTAGTATTGTCGTTTTTTATGTGATAAAGAATAATCATTTCAAATTTCATACAAGTCATTCAATACAATCGAACACTATTATTTATTACTAAAATCAATTTCTATGGAAGGTGGAGTATGGAAATTGCTTATGAATAATTTAACCACTTCTAGAATGCAAATCAAGCCCAATCTAGCCATGAGATAGTTTTAAGGAAACATAAAAAATTCCCTCAGCAGACTTATCAACACTCATGCATAACTAAATTTTATGCTCATTTGAATTATGGATCAGTAAGACCTCCAAATATGACCAATGAAATCATGATTAATCAATAAGCAAGAATTTAATTTTTAGATTAATTGACTACAGAGGAAAAGATGCGAAGATAAAGCACAAAATAGCAGGATCATCAAGTATTGAACAAACCTATACAAAACTAAGTCAGTGCCTGAGGCAGAGGGCTCTTCCCCATTTTGTTTATCAGCATCACGGTCAGTTTGGAGCTGCTCAAGCTGTTGCTCTACTGCAGCAGGCACAAGATGCGGATGACTAATCAGTATCTCAGAAAGAAACTGCCCGATTGGAGACTCCAGCTGAAGAGGAGCAATTTTGTTGTTCGACCCTGATGATTCTGGAGATAGAGATGAAGCTTTAACTACTAAACCTCTTCTACTTCCAACACCCAGTCTCTTACGACCTTGCTTGGGGATAGATACAGAACTGCATAGCTGACAAACATCAAGAACAATCAGGGGAAAATAAATATGTTTAAAATATTGGTCATACAACATCCAAAAAGAGATGTATGCCAATTATTCAAGCAAATTCTGTATAAAAGCAACATTACATATAAAAGAACAAATCAAGCAGAAAACCCATTTGAATAACGGTTAGCATCTATATTTCAAGGTAATAGAGTTGGACTGTCAATCCCAATAGTCAAGGAAATATGTTTCCAATTCTATTTTGGGCAGCTTTCATAATGGAGATCAATCGCGGATTTTCCCCTACCTACAGGTTTGACTGGGAAGCCATTTAATCGCCTTAAACAATAAATTATCAACTCCATCCTCAACCCCATCTTTAAGCGCAAAGCCAAAACCAGAAATTGATAGCTATATCAATAACCATAAACGACCTCAACAGCAGTCCACAATTATGCTAATAACCAAGCATAAAGAACAGCAGACAAAACCTTCCAGCAGTTCATACTTCATACATAACCAGAAGACCCAGAACCCTACACCGAAATTCAAAATTAAACCCCCAAAAGAGGTAGAAAACCGATTTTATACCTTACTGGAGAGCTGAAAACTGGAAGCAAACCGCGCGAAGGCGGGCCCGTCAGGAGCCAATAAGCTCGATCTTCCAAGGCAAATCATCGGCTTCGACGGAGCAGCCGATGATCGGACGACATTTACTGCCGCCGCTTCCATTTGAAGCTCTGCAAGGCCCGCAAATGTTGAGTTAACAGGGGCAGAATCCAATACTAGCCAAGCAAACAGAACCAATTATGAATCAAAACGAATCGTACCTGTAAGGCAATATTAGCAGGGATCCGATAGTATGAAACCCAAAAACCCTAAAGAGAGAGACTTTGAGAGAGAAAATTAAAGGGGTACGACCAAATCGTAGAAGAATGTAACGAAGGATGGGCTCTGGGGATATGCAATGTATACCGTTGGCGGCCGGTGGGAAGAATCCTGCAACTCTGCAAGCGCGTGATCCCGTTTATTTATGCCAAACGTGATCTTGCGTCAACGGGGCGGACCGAAAGAAGTCGACAAATGTACTAAATGACACATTTGCCCCTCAATAAAAACTCCGCACAGGCCCTGACTTTATAGATGGATCGAATTGCATCTTAACTAAATTGTACATGAAAACATAATATTTCTTAAAATTACTAATATATTATTAAGGATTAATATCAATTTTTTTTAAATTTGACCTCATTTTAATTTTGATTCAGAGACCAAAAATACTATTTAAAGAAACACAAGAACCACATGCTTAAAATTTGAGAGATCAAAATTAAAATAAACCCAAATTTTAGGAATTAAAAATTATACTAACCTATTTGTAAATTATAAATAATATACTTGTTTTTAGAATTTCATGCAAATTATTAAGAGTGACTAATATCAACAAGTTAGTCCATAATATAAGTCATTTAACTAATTCATTAATATCAAAAAAAATTGTAAATTATTAAATGGCTTAAATTTAATTTTTTTTAACTTTATCTCTATTAAATAAGACTGTTAAGGAAAAAAATAAGAAGAATTAAATTTAAATATCAAATATAGAGAAAAATCGATAACTAAGTATTAATTACATTTAAGTAACATGTTTTCGAGCTAGCCATTTATATTTTTTTGTTTTTTTTTTTTTGGCCAACAGCCATTTATACTGATTCGGATGACCCGAGCCTGCAAAAACTAGGGACAAATAAGTGGTAGGGAGAGAGGCAAATAGGTAAATTGGGAAGAGGAGATTTTTGTATGGGCACGAAAAGGAGATAGACTTCAAAATAAATTCGGGAGACCTCCAGATTGGAAACCGGGACCCAGGGCGGTTCAAGTTTTAAGGACTTATTATTATAATTATTTTTAAATGAAAAATTGATTTTAAATTATAAATGACTTTTTAATGAAAATAATACTACTTTTTATCTTTAATATAAAAGTTCATTTGATTTTTATTCTGTTCTAAATATAAGGCCTCAATTCATTTTATTTCTCATATTTATCTATTTTTTTTAAGCTTATAATAATAGTAGTTCTAGCTAATACATTTAATTAGTAAAAATATTTTTAAAAAAACATATATTTATTATAAATAATTAATTTAATTAGTTTTTCTAATTTTCTCAGATAAAAGTAATATAAACAGTAACGGAAAAAATGTTAGATTTTTAAATGTGTCCGTATGAAATTTGGAAGCGTGGTGACCAATTGGCCACTCACGACCAATTGGCCTGCCGCGTAACAGCAGGGGATTTTTCCTAGATTACTTTCTTTCTTCTTATTCCGTTTACGTGTCCAAATCTCAGCCGAATTTCTGCCACTCCATCTTGTGGTTTCTATTTTATTATGAACAAATTGTCCTTTCTAATTTTCAATTTATTTTTTTAATTTTAGTGATATTATTAAAGAAGGTATTTTCCTGTTGACCAAAAATAAAATAATACTCATTGTATTTTTTATTGGATAAATAATAAAATAAAAAATTCTATTATGATTCCGTGAGCGCAAAATAATAGCAGGAAATTGCTTAAAGCAAAATTACCCGAGGAAATTGCATCATCTAAAACAAAACAGTTCCCAATGGAACCAATCAGCCAATGCGAATCATCCTTAAATCTTCCGCCCGAAGACATCTCAATCAAATCAAAGACGATAGACATAACAAGCTACAATTGGGTGGTCAATTTCATCACCAACCAACAATTACCGTTACTACTTTTTATTTTTAATATAAGAACTAGTTTAAATTTTAATTTAGTCATAAATATAAAATCCTAATATATTTTATATCTCATATTTATTTATTTATTTAAAGTAGTTTTTGTAATAGTTGTACATGTTAAATATTCATTAAATAGTAGTTATAACTAACACATATAATTAGTAAAAATATTTTAGGAAAGACAATTTCTACTTATTACAAATAATTAACTTAACAAATTTTTTTAACCTACTCAAATTAATTAACTAGCTCTTATATTAAGGTTTTCAAATGAGCATGAAAATTGCCCTTCAACAAAAGCATTCTTGATCAAATTTATTTTAAAACCAGTTTTTATGAATCACATAACGGTTACGAATCTTGATGACAATGATGAAAATTGTTTAGATAACATATTGGGTAAGTATTTTACCCAACAAAAAAATAGAGTTAAGTATTACCTCCAATCCTAATTATAAGAGCTAGTTAACTAATTTGAGGAGATTAAAAAAAATAAGTTAAGTTAGTTATTTGTAATAAATAGATGTTATCTTTCTTAAAATATCTTTGTTAATCAAGTTTATTAGCTAAAACTACTACTACCTCCGGTCCTTAATATAATACCCCATTTGACTTTTTGTTTGGTCCTAATTATAAGACCCCAATCCATTTTGTCTCTCATATTTATGTTTTTTTTTCCAAAATAGTCCTTCTAATAATGATATTTTTAGCCAATACACTTAATTAGCAAGGATATTTTAGGAATGACAACACTTATTTATTACAAATAACTAACTTAACTTACTTTCTTAATCTCCTCAAATTAGTCAACTGGGTCTTATAATTAGGACTGGAGGTAGTATTATTAGAGGGATTATCCTAGGAAAAAATGTATAAATATGATAGACAAGTATTATTCAGTATCTTAAAATATTTTTTCAGCGACACTTAGTATTTCAAACTGATTTTTTGTGCATCTAATATTTTAAAGTATTCTAATAACACCTGCTACCATAAATTAATTTTTGATGTATTAAATACTCTGAAGTATTTTTCCAATAATAATCAGTATACTCAACTTAGGATGTTTGTCGTTACTGAGAAAAATGCTTTAAAAATAAAATTGCAATAAAAATTATTTTAAAATATTGGGTATAACTGAAAATATATTTTAGGATATTTAATGTACTGCAAATTAGTTTAGACTAATGTGGAGCTCAGATTCATAACAGCAAGACCCCTTTTAAAATTTCTATGTTCGATTGCACTTTCAAATAAATACTTGTTAATGATATCAAGATTGCTTCCTAATGTACTCTTCAATCCTATTTATAGTGTAGAAAGAGAAAACTTTCTTATAAATATATAATTTTACCTCTTATTTATCATTGTATTGAATTCATTCTTATCTGTATAATATATATTAAATAGAAATAAAGTTGAAAAATTATTAAATTTTAAGAGAGTTAATGAAATTTGAGATTTTTCTTAATCAATATAAAATATATTAGAAATGGCTTATAAATATGATTAAAAAATTACTTCTAGAATGTGAGATTCTCTGGGAACCCCGCTTGAAGATCAATGGAGTCTGTTTATTTGGATGTGGCTGTGAAGAATTTCTAGCATACATTTTTATCTCTTGTTCTTACTTTAGAACTATCTAGTTTGGCAGTTTTTCCATTCAGCTTCTGGATTATGATTTCAATGATTGGGGTGCACTCTTATGCAATTAACAAATGATGGAAAGGCTCTAATGCTAAATGGTATAATTATTCTAATAAATTTTATTTGGATGAAGGAAAAGATGTCATTACGCCAAGGAAGAGCCACTGATCCTCATCTTGTTATTGGTGAGATTCTTAATTCTTAATGCTATGTTCCTTTTCAGCCAAGAGCCCAAGAATGCTGTTTTGGTTCATCCAACAAAACTCTTTTGTTTTCCGGCCCAATCTGGTAATGAAGACCAAGACAGTTGGAAAATATTTTTGCAAAAATGTAAGAGGAACAAAATTGTGTTTTGCCATCCCTAGATTTGCTTTTATAATTTTTTTTATTCCTCAAATGCCCTTATCTTGGTTTTAATTTCTTAAATTTTAAACTATAGTTTTTGGTTCCGCTAGAGGTAAAATGGTCCAAATATTTATTGAATTGCATGGACCAATTTTTTTTGAATGAAACGAAACTTGAGAAATCAAAACCTATAATTTGAAGCTTAAAGAACCAAAACCAAAATAAAGATAAATTTAAAGGATTAAAAATTATATTAGGCCTTTTTTTAATATATAATTGATCTTTTAACCAAAAAGAAATACTTAACCCAACAAATTATTGTTTTTAATAGGGTAAAACTACGTTTAGCATCCTCATATTATTTTTCAAGTATATTTGGTATCATGATCTTTTTTATAATGCATTTAGTACTTTAATTATATTTTTAGTGCATCTAGCACCTAATTAGGGTGCTAAATGTAGCTAAAAAATAACATGAAGGTATTGAATGCATGAGAAAAATGAGACCAGGGAGGCAAAATGTAACATCCCAAATTTTATTTGGGTTTGTAAGTAGTTATTTATAAAAAGTTTAGATTAAATATTTGATAAGGTAAATAAAAGAAAATTTTATATACATATGATTAATTCAAGAAAATGAGATATTTGAAAGATAATCAAATCAAATAAACACAAATATACCTATATAATTATATATATACACAATATCTTTAAGGAAAATAACAGTAATTTACTAAGAGTATAGATACATATAATAAAAAGGCAAAAGTTTTGGTGGGAATATAAATGTGTCATATCGTCTAAGCTTTCCTTTTTTAAAAAAAGATATATGTATATTTACATATTTATATCTATATATATGCTTCAATGATTTCCGTGGAATTCTAGCTAATCAGAAAAAAAAAATTATTAAATTTTCTATTTTCATATATATGGTAGCCTAAACCTAGTTTTTCATAGGGTCCTCTCTTCCAGTCTTTTTTTGCCGTCAGGTACCTCTTCTACTTCTCTGTTCTTTCTTTTCTTTTTCTCTTCCCTCTCATTAACTCCCCTTTTATCATATTACGCAGAGTGCTACTTGGCTCTCTTTCTTTTTGCCTTTCCTTTTCTTGAAATTTATGTGGCTAGGTGTTCCAGGTATATTGACCTTTTGAATTCTCAATTTTTTTTGCAATTGTAGTCTTAACTTATATATATATATAT